CATGGCAAGATTGACCGACTCCTGCATCACCGAATCACCACCGCACTACTCACCGAAAGAACAACTCGACGAAAGCACCCCGCGAGTCACTGGAACCGAACCCGACGTACGCAGCCATCGCTCAGGGCGAGCCGTCCGGAAAAGACACCTGGTTCTTAAACAGCTGCTGCGGACAACACATGTGCTCCTCGGGTCGCTTCGTTCAACGGGAACACCAACTGCAACGCGAAGTTGTCATCACCGTCGCCAACAATCAGAACCTGCGCACACGAGGACAAGGCACAGTTCAACTTCAGTCAAGAGAAACTAATGTCATACTGCAAATGTCAAAAGTTTTAATCGCGGAGGGACTCGGCTACAACTTACTCAGCGTCAGTCAATTGATGGCGAAAGGTATCCACCTCGAAGCAGACATCACCGCACAAGAGTTCAAGCTGTACCACGGAAAGGGCAGCCTCTACATCGGCAAGGCGGTCTTGAAGAACAACGTCTTCGTTCTTGACTTCGTCCCATACCAAGGAACCGCCGACAGCGACACCATCGTCAACTTCACTTCCTGAACACACCCGCCAGATCTCGACCCCGACTTCAGTCCTGGAGGCTTCTGGTACTCGCATACTATACCTGAGACGGAACGAACGAGACCATTAGCAACAATCTAGACAACATCGGCAGTAGCAGAGACAACATCGGCAGCAGCAGAGACAATATCGGCAGCAGCAGAGACAACATCGGCAGCAGCAGAGACAACACCGGCACCAATCGCCGGCCCTTCAACAGCACCAGTCCTCATCGACGACACACCACCGCCTCCTGCACAACAGTTGACTCCTACTCCGCGAGAAGTCCACAGAAGCGCCAATTTTACCGCCGGTTTTTACTCCAACTCCAACCTGTACAGACGCTTACCCGGACATCGTGCTAGCGAAGATATCCGACATGCAAGGTTGGGACACCCGAGCAACACAATGTTAAACAACACAATAAGAGCCGGAGTCCTTGACAAAGACTCATTACTTCTACACGACGGGAGAGAGTTTCAACGAGTCCGCGGAACATGTTTTACTTACCCCGAAGCCGACTTACCGCATCAGCCGTTCGTCTCTCACCACAACCCGAGCGCTCCAGTGTACACACCACTGGAAAAAGTGTACAGCGACATAATGTACAACCGTGAACCCAGACAAGGAGCGTATAACTACGTCATCACGTTCATCGATGCCGCCACACGATACGTCTGGCACTTCAATCTCCCAAGCCGCGACATGGCCTTTGAAGCTTTCGTCGCCTGGCTTCCGGCAGCAGAACAAGAATCAGGGGTGAAATTGAGAAGCTTCCAGTCAGACGGGGGAGGAGAATACCAGTCACAAAGGTTTAAGCAGTATCTGGCATAACGAGGCATCAAGTGGCTCATCTCCCTCCCCTATGCCCACCAACAACAAGGCGTGGCAGAAAGAATGAACAGGACCCTCCAGAACACCATGCGCAAGCTGCTACGTGGCATGCGGCTACCCAACCACCAGTGGCCCGAAGCAATGGACCATGCTGTCATGCTGCACAACTTGCTTTCGTCATCATCGCTCCCGAACAACGCATCACCGCATCTGCTGTGGACAGGGAAATTGGGCAGCACAAAAATGTTGCGAGTGTTCGGCTGCATGGTACAGTACCGACCCGCAGCTACACGAGCCGGCCGATTCTCTCAACGCGCACAGTGGGGAGTACACCTGGGCATCGAAAAACATCACAAACGCATGGAAGATTTTTTACGTCCACTCGAAGGAAACAGTGGCAGCACGTGACGTCAACACCGACGAAGCAGAATGCATAGGATCCAATTTCATACCTGATCCAGATTCGGGAGACGAAGCAGCTTATCCCGAGGACCCAAATCTCCCCCGACTCTCACAGAGTGGCCTGCAGATACTTGGACTCGTCACCGCGGTCCACGGAGCAGCGCCATCTAAGGAGCCCGCCACAGTTCAGCAGGCTATGGAGGGGGAGCACAAGGAACAGTGGCGCGAAGCCATGGACAGGGAATTAAAGGCGCTAGAAGAACGCAACACCTGGAAGATCGTTCCCATCGGAGTGGCACGCAACAAGATAATTCTCACCGGGAAATGGGGTTTTCGTGTGAAAACCAAAGTAGACGGAACCATCGACAAATTCAAAGCGCGCTGGGTCGTACGCGACTTCGACCAGGAGCACGGACGGAACTTCACCGAAACCATTGCGCCGGTCAGCCGATACACCTCATTGCGAATTCTCCTCACGATAGCCGCCATGAAGAAGAAAAAGCTTCGCCAAATCGACGTCGCCAACGCCTTTCTCTACGCGCCCGTCGATGCTGAGATCTTCGTCGAACAACCACACGGCTCCAACGCAGACCCCAACCAAGTGTGTCAGCTACTGAAGTCTCTGTACGGTATCTTACAAGCCCTGAGGCTGTGGCAGCAGTACCTACACGCCCGACTAATCCGCATTGGATTCCGACAACTGCCGCACGATCAAGGAATGTACCGCCTCACAAAAGGCGTCGACTATATCCTACTCATCGTCCACGTGGACGATTTGCTCTACATCGGTTCGACCGACGGCGTCACAACCTGGTTCGAAGGGGAGCTGCAGCGGGACTTAACGCTCACCGTCTCATCTACCGTAACGCAATACCTCGGGCTCAACATACAGGAAGAAGAAAACGCGATCCATCTCAGCGCCGCGAAGTACGCCGACACCATCGCCAAGCGCTTCGGATTAACTCCAGCCATCATCACCACGCCGTATCGCTACACCGACGGAAAATGCAAGGAAACCTCCATGCCACTCAAGCCCGCCGGCATACGTGACCGCAACCGTCACCTGTCGACCGGACCTATCGTACTCAGCGAGCCAACTCGCCACCTACCTCAAGAAACCGGAAGCAGAACACATGGCGGAACTCAACCGCGCACTCCACTACCTCGTCAGCACCCCAACCATCGGCCTGACCTACCACAAAACGGGAACTACGGCACCTAAGTTAATCGGCTACGTGGATGCTGACCACGCCGGCGACTCCGATAACAGGCGTTCACGCACCGGCTACATCTATCGACTCGAGCCTATCGGGCCTATCTCGTGGCAGTCGAGCAAACAGGAATTAATCGCTCTCTCTTCAGCTGAAGCAGAATACATTGCACTCTGCTCAGCCACCAAGGAAGGCCTGTACCTTCGCGAACTACTGGAAGAAGCGAAGCTGGCTCAGTTACCCACTTCTCCTTATTCTACGACAACCAGTCAGCAATTCGCATAGCGAACAAGAACGGGTTCGCGAACCGGACGAAGCATATCGCCCTGCGATATTTCTTCGTGAAGGACGAGATCGAGAAGGGGAGACTCGAGCTATCCTACTGCCCCACATCCGAGATGGCAGCCGACTATTTGACCAAGAAGCTTAGAAAGCAGAAGTTCAAGTACTGCATGCTGCTGACTGGACAGGGCCACGTCACCAGCAACGACACTCCAGAAGCGAAGGGGAGTGTTGGAAACAAATGATTTAACGCTTCTTGTGTGTCGCAACATCGAACTGTAAACGAGGCGAACTACAGCGCAGCAACAGCGAGTCAACTGAGGAGGTTGACAGAAAGGTAACAGCCGTTGTTTACGCGAAGGTCAAAGGTCAGCGACCTTTGACTCGACAAATACAGCGCGACAGCAAGGACAAACAACTGACTCGATATTGAGCAGTTGCCCGAGTCGTGACTGTATCGAACCGCAACAGCAGCAGTTACAATTGCAGTTACAAATAAGTAGGTAGTTAAACCTTTCGTATTCTTCTGTAAATAAAAGCTTGTAATTTTCTTCTATAATCAATCTATCTTGCCCTCACATACTAGCGCAAGGTGGTTCAACACTTATCATTAAACGCTTCCGCAATTACAACATCTCTATTAGGAGTTCGAGCCTTGAAAGATCCTAAAGGCTTTTCTCAGCCCAACAAGCGACACGTTGTGAGATGTTACATGAAAGTATGGTTATGAAACACACTGCTCTGGCGGGGCTTATCCTTACTTCGCGTGTCATTGTGCATACCGAGTGCAACACTGTTCACGCGCCTTAAGACCTGTTATAAGTTGTAAAAAAAGAAGGTGCGTTGAGATTTTCAATGCATCCAGTTTTCGCTATAGTGGATTCGGTTTTAAATAACAGAGCTCAGCCACGGACGCGCAGAAAGTGGTTCAGTGGGGTGGTTCACGTTCTGGGGGAGTCATATTAATACTGTATCTGGAATGGCTGTGTATTCGGGGGAAAAAGAAGAAGGAACCCACAACACCCATATGCTCATGTACAGAAACCTATGCTGCCTTGTGTACTTGATGCTAGCATGAAGGTACCTCACTACAATTACCGTATGTACTTATCCTAATAAAATGCATCTACCGTACATCTACATCATTTTTGCCTTCACCTGAGCGTTGATGTTATTGTCACGTACACTAACTGGAAGCAGCACAGTATCGACCGCATGGACAACAATTGATGGACTCGAGAACATGTTTCCGATCAAAACTCTCGCACCCCAGGCGTCTCCAGCCCTGACGATACGCAGCCGGTTGCTGGTTTCATTCTTTTTGAGCGAAGAGCTATCAAGTGCTTCCATCTGCAAGCAAGGTGGTGGAAGGTGTAGGGCGGATGGTGAAACTGGAGGTGAGTATATGGAGGATACGAGGGAAACGGGAAGTGAATGGGTGAAGAGGCGAAGAGACCTAACGAGAAGGATTGGAGAGAGAGAGAGAGAGAGAGAGAGAGAGAGAGAGAGAGAGAGAGAGAGAGAGAGAGAGAGAGAGAGAGAGAGAGAGAGAGAGAGAGAGAGAGAGCAACTTCATGAAAAAAAGGTTATAGATCAATGCATGTAGGCTATGGAAAGCAAGAGAACTGTCCAAGCTTACCAGAAATCCATTTCCAAGGGCCTTGATGTCATTGATATCCATCCGACGTGGTAGTATGTGAGACGCCATCACCTGCCAAAAAACTCTCCTCTTCCTTTGCAGTCCTCCAAAGCGCACATTCTTGGGCATGCGGAAGAACGCCCCGTTGGTTGGTGCAAAGATGGTAACGTTGCTTGTAAGCAGTGTATTCATAAGCGTCTCATCTAAGCCTGTAGAGTATGGAAAGGTTGCAGGACACAAAAATGGAGAGAACAAACATAAGGATTGCTGATTCAAAGTCGAAGGTACGGATTATAAACATGATTACGTGGTAAAACGGCATTATGAAATACGCTTAGGATGTGTGACTTACCACTTCGGCTAATTCCCATTGCAGCTCCTGTGAATCTCCGCTCGTACAAAAACCCCAAAAGCTTGTTCACTTCAGCCAATTTTGCTTGCTGCTCCACCGTCAGATCTTTACTTCCGCCACCTCCGTTCGATTGCCCTCCGCTTCCCGTTCCGTTCCCCTTTCCGCTTCCCCCCCCGCGGATAATTTCCCCGCTCCCGTCAGACTTTCCCGATTCCGATCCCGAACCAGTCCCCGAGCCTCCGCCCGTGCCAGAATCAGCTCCTGTCCCCGCTCCAGACCCGGAGTGTGACCCCCCTTTCCCCTTCCCTCTGCCGGGGCGTCCTCCCTTTCCTTTTCCTGTGCCCTTCCATGGGCCTGTCAGAAATTCTTTCCATGCACCCGTTCGTATAGCGCTCCACGCGCCTGGTTCCACAATAATATTCTCCGCTGCACCTTCGACGGGAAGAAGCGGCGACACGAGAGACAGGAAGAGAAGGAGGAGCGGTAACAGGTCTGGAAGGGTTAGGCCGCGCAGGAGCTGGGTGCGGTGGAGAGCAACGTGGGTCGAGCGTGATTTGCGGTGGCAGGTCAGAATGACGAGAGAAGGGAATCCCCGCCGCGGATGCCGTTTGGACGCCATCGCCATAATCGAAATTATCGAGCTGATTACGCGCTGCGTCTTAGTCCTCTACGGACGCCTCTTTAATCGAGGGTCGCACTTGTATCTGGTCGGGGTTGTGACTTTAGTGTGAACACGTGTTGCCCACTCTGCGGCTTGAACGACACTGCTACAACTAAAACGAGAGCGAGTCGGAAAAAAAACGTCGATGCACTTAGAAAGTGATTGCTGGGAGAAAGAACTAAGAGGTGCCTTGAAATATCGAATTGATTGAACACCCTTCATGCTGCTTTTTAGCAGAAACGTCGAGTGACTAGTAGTTAATACGTGGGTGCGTTGACAATGTCTGGTTTCTTCAACTGACAGTTTGATACGTGGGTGCCTTGGCAATGGCTCTGCATGAAAGCTGTGAGAAGTACGAATCAGACAGCAAGAGCGCCTTGGCCCAAGGCTTCCGAAGAGAGGCGTGCTAGGCAGAAGCAACGATATCATGCGTCGTGAAGCGAATACGGGTTATTGTCTACCACACTTTGTAGCTGGGTGGAGACACCCGAGTGTCAAATCCTTGTGGCCCATTGTGCGAAGCCGAAGCATCTCGCGGACAACCCTCTGAGTTGAAGAGAGAGAAGCACTCCGGCTCAAGGATGATGTGACGAGGCGAGTGGGCTTAGGGCGTGTAACCATTTCGATTTTTTACGATTTTGTGGACCGTCCGTATAGTATTAAGCGGACGGTCCTAATAACGAGAACAGGACCGTCCGCTTTGAAGTTTCGGAACCGTGGCACCGTCCGAATAGGAAAGTGACACTTTTTGGGTTGCGTAGCAACCCTTTATATTTGGTTTCACATTTTGGGGATATCATTTCAAGAGTGATTTTTAAGCACTCTTTGAAGCACCCGTTAGAACAACGGTTTAATACCGTGTTCAATAGAATGCCTCAAATAGTGGATACATCACCCTTGATTAAGATATCCTAAATGTGAAACCAAATACACATGTTAAAGCCATGATTTTGTTCCGACCGTCCCAGCTCGTCGATTAATACGGCGGATGGTACGATCGAACATGGCATCAACATGAATAAACACAACTGTGTTAATGAACAAGGTACGGTATGAAGCGTAGTGTGAATGCTTCAAGGTGAATATTAAAATGTATCAATGCAGCAACAGAGATTGATGGGGTCGTTGAAACAGCGAAGACACGCTGCCCCAACGACGATGACAACCCCTAATTGCATACACGATGCATTGTAACACCACGCCTTGAAACACACACACCACAACCACGAAATGCACACAGAACAATGCACAACATCACGTAAAGATTGAGAACGCATCAAAGTCAATCAGCGAAGATACGCTGCCCCAACGGCGATGACAACCCCAAATTGCATACACGATTCATATTAACACCACGCCTCGAAACACAAACAACACGACACGTTAACATTAGTGAAACAGAACACGTAGAACGAGGATAGCACGTAATGATTGTGAATGCTTCAAAGCTAATGCTAAAATGCATCATTGCTGCAGCGAAGGTTGATGGGGTCGTTAAAACAGCGAAAACACGCTGCCCTAACGACGATGACAACCTCTGCTGCATACATGAGGCAAGTTAACACAAGCCTGAAACAGACGCAACCCACCCACAACACGATAGGTATATAGACGTATAAGCTCGCGCAAACACACACGCATACGCATACACGCACACTCACAAGCATATGTAAGGCACGCATAGACACACAGTTGATAGTTAACTAAAAATCGTTTGAGTTTATGTAAAACTGCTTTTGCACGGCCTCAATCATTCCCTCTCCTTCCTTCTCCTTTTCCTTCCACACAATTCCCCATCTCGCTTGTATCATCCTTGCTTTTCTTCTCCAATCGATGCAAGGGAAATGAAGACGTTGTGCCTCACTGACCCTGCGCAGCATAACAAGAAACCAATAGTACGGGGAACAAAAAAAAAAAAAAAAAAAAAAAAAGGAAATTACTTCGCGTAGAAAGTTTCACGAGTTGATAATTGGATCAATAAGCTTAACAAACCCACGTTACAATCAGCACTATATCGTACACTAATCCAGAACCACCTATCAATATTGAATATGAGGATTTATGTTAAAAATGACGCTCTGTATCTAACCTGGTCGCCACGACGCTGGGCGAGTTTCACGGATGTCGATGGAATGGCGGGTGGACCATTCGGCGCTTCACGTTTGTTGTTGTCGTTCACAGCTTCAACATGCTCCTCCTATGAATATCATAAAAAAAAAAACATGCGCAAATTAACATCGATTTTTTCTTTGCATTCGTAAGAAAGGAAGATAATGTATGCCGTTATATCTCAAGCAATAATGGATTATGCACTTACCATGATGAATGCAGAGATCGTCCTGTCAAAACGATTTCCAGCTGCCTTCACGACCATCTGTGTTGAAATCAAAGGGACAAATGACAAAAGTTGTGCGATATGACGTTTTAACCAACGATGAACTTGATAACATTTTATCCTATTACAATGTTGACTATAGTAGAAAATATTAACTACCACAATGTCTATGTTTCATTGCATGACGTACCTTGATTTGACGCCGCCTGTGGAGGAGCTTCGTTAAGATCTCCTGCTTGCCATCAGAATCAGCTGCAACCCATGTCGCAATGCTGAAACCTTCCAGTCCGCTCTTGAGCGCACTCAAGCTCATTGTAGCACTCACACCTGTGCGGGCGAGCTTTCCAACTTTGATAGAAAATGGAAAATGGAAAATCAATTAAGTGTGATAACATCATAGCTTTTGAAAACAAAGAGCATCAAAAGCAATTGCTTATCGAGCATGAGATGTTACATTATCACAAGACAATGAATGGTGATACATGCAGTACTAAAATCAACATTTACAACAAAATCGATAGTAACAAAGAAAAAACACTAGTACCTGTCGTCGTGTCGAAAACCGCAACAACTGTATCTCGCGCGTCCGCATCCTGTGTCACATGCTCCAAGTCGCAGAGGTACCCGTCGTTGGTGAAACACCATCCGACGGGAAAACCGCAAGGGAGGGCACCTTCTCCCGACGGCCTGAATGAACAGACCCACTCTGTAGTGACGTCGGTGCTGCGTATCTCCACGCGGAGTGCACATGTGATCTCTTGGCCCAAAGAGATCACATTCTCCTCCACGGCTCCCAAACTATAAGGGAGTGGGGAAAAAGAAAGTGAACAAACGTACATATTAACGATATTTATACTGCATCTGTTGATCAGACATGACATTATCTTTACAGTTGACTAAGATGCAACGCAAACTTGATAGTAATTTATAACTTGCAATACATACGAAATGACGCTGCCGACGTCGGTTGGTGCTGTGAGAACAGGAGCCAGACTCCGCGTGACGCGAGCAACAACAGCATCATCAGTGACCTTGATAATCCTGGACCTGGTAGGAAAAAGTACAATATACATATTTGAAAGATAGTTGGGACTATATACATCATGTACGTTAACGTGTATCAACAACATCCATATTCAAGTCCAAACACTTGACTAATCAATAAGCGCATGGTAAGACCGATTGTACTATACCTCTTGGTTGTGTAAATCTGGGGATGCTCGACGTAGAGCTCAGTGATCCACAAGACCACTGGAGTCGATGTGAACGAAGTCCTGGTCACCTTTTGCTGCTCTGTCACAAACATGCGAATTTTGTCCGCAGATGAGCCCAACGCCGTCAAACCGAAGCGTCCGCTCTCATCACGAACCGAACACAGAGCGCGCAGCAAGAAACCAGGCTCCATCTTGGAGACCGTCAGCTCCACAATGAAGGATGAAACCTGTAAGTAATAAATACCAAAACAATGTACACAATACGTTATTACTGTATGAATATGAACGATGATGATAAACATACAAATGCGTGATAAAACAAAATAAGAAATAAAAGAACACATCTGAATTCAATATGACCTCATATTATGGAACAAAAAAATGAGCTATGTTAAGTATAATGTCATGACGCGACGTGCACACAAACCTGACGACGTATGGGCGGATCTGTCGTAATAGTAGGTATACTGAGGAGCCATAGCTAGGGTTGACCTAGCTAGGCATGAGAGAATGAAGGCAAAAGAGGGCTGAACTAGCAAGAATGGGGATACAAATAGCAAACCCTAGAAGGGTTGTACTCGCTACAGAGCACCCCACTACAGGCTAGAGCATAATATTCTGACACACCCCCATAGCCAAAGTGGGGT